GTCTGATACCAGAAAGTGTGTTTTTGATGATGCTACAAAATGGATACAAAGGGAAGGAAGGAACCATCTCCCCACCTGTCCTCTTTCATTCAGGAAGGCTGCATGCTGGGAGAGCTGGTTCTGCTGCTAGATCAGACTGCAGCTCAGGGAGAGGAGACCCTCATCTGGGCAATAGCTGGGGTGCCAATGATCTTGACTGTTCATTCCATCCCTTATTAGGTGGTACTGTATCCCACACCATGGGAAGCATAGCAAGCTTGATCCTTATGATGCAAAGAGCCATTAGAATAAGGAATCCTGTCAGAAGATCATGATGGTGGGTAATAGCCATCTTGCCATGTCACAAAATGAGCATGAAGCTTGCAACACACTTTTCTTAGAATGTACTCAGCATCTTGTGAAACAGGGAGAATCATGAGGGTCCTGACTTTACAAATAGGAAAATGCCTTAAATAGATGGAATGTCTTACCTGAAATTCCACACCTGGTAAGTGAGAGAGGTAAGATTTAAACCCAGCTCTTATCAGCTACGCTGGTTTTTTCAGCCTGTGATGTTTGTCTTCATCTATGCTGACCCTTTTATCTCATGCTTGGGGCCCTCTGATTTTTCTCTTTCTCCTATGGTTCAGTGGTCAACAACTCCCCAGAGATTGTACTTAAGTCTGCCAGTGGTATGCTAGGGTTGGCTTATACTGGCCTATGAGAGCAAGCGGCTATGTTTTCAGGAATTTGTGATCCACATGTCACATTGATTAATTGAAATGACCAAAGGGATTCTTCTTTTTAGAAATAGGCTATCATGCACTGAAGATTGGCCTCAAACTTACAATACAGCTAAAAATGACCTTGGACCTCTGATTTTCTTCTTCTACCTCCTGAGTGCGGGGTTATAATTGTGCACCCCATGCTTACTTTATGCAGGGCTATGGACTGAACTCAGCTTCATGCAGGCTAAGCAAATACTCTTCTAGCTGTGCTACATCCCAGCTCCATGAAGGAGTTATTTACAACAGAGAAATCAACAAACACTACAAATCAGGCCTCCATGACTCCCCTCTACTAACACAGTGTCTGCGACCCATTTTTACCAGCATGCTACCAGGCCCTTATCCTTCTCTGCTAAAGGACCACAGCTACATAGCAGAGACCATTTTACAGAATGCCTGGTAGGCACAGGGAGTATCTGGAGCTATATGTGCATGTCCCCACGTGCAAGCACTCTACCTTTCTGATCCACTGTTACCGTGGGATGAAGGAGGTTCTGGGAGCCCAGAACCATTTTCACAGCACAGTTCAGGGAGACAGGCATATAATCCCCAAACTATATTCACATTTAAATAGAAGTTCACTCCATTGAGAGTGTAAGAGAGTGGGTTTGGATATTTACAGTTGGACCGAACACTTGGTTTGTAAAATGCTAGCATTTGTTCTTGAGTATTTTTCATGTGGTGTAACAATTTGAAAGAGATTTGAACTATCAGGAACACCATTTTACAGATGAAGAAAAGGGAAAAAGAAGCTAAGAGCTTAAGAGGAGTGACCCTGGCTACTGTTATTAACCATGAGTATATATCTCCCATCAAGGGCCCTCCTCTTATCTGGCTTTGATCCCTCCCTCTACCCTTTCCCATCACTTGAAGATGAAGACCTTATGCCAGCCTGACAGTTCTCTCAGAGATGAGAACACAACATATATAATGGCTAAAGTTTACTATATGCTGATAGGGTAACAGTATGCTATGTCTTAAATTGAACTGCGTGAACTTGCCAACATTTTTTTTTTCTATTTGCCAAATGGTAATTTCAATATCTCAGCTCACACACATTATCTGTGTCTGGGCCATGTTCTCATGAGATGGGTGCTATCATAATATCTACTTCACAGATGGGGCAGTACTGAAGCTTTTATTGAAAACACAAAAAAGTTCTTCACACAAGTGCAAGTTATATACTTCTACGTGATACATTGTTTTGTACTCATTGATGGCCCTGGGCAATGTACTATAGGCAGGGCATGTACAATAATAACTCAGTGACCACGAATAACTAACTAATAAATTTCTATAATGCTTAAAGAAAGGTTTTGAAATGTTAAATATAAATCATTGGTATTAGAAAACAAGGAATTCGATGTGAGATATATATGTATATATATATATATATATATATATATATATATATATATATATATATATATATGATTTGTCCATCAGGGAAACATTAGATACTCCAGCTAAAGGCTACAGAATGAATTATTTGTTATGAAACTTTTCTTTCTCTTTTTAGTTCCTTTTCTGTTTGTTTATTTATTTTTTTTTTGAGGTCAAGTCTTCCTATGTAGCCCAGGCTGGCCTGGAATTCACCATATAGCCTAGGCTGTCCTTGAACAAATATTGATTCTCTTGCCTTGGTCTCTTTATGCTGGGATTATAAGCACACACTACCATATGCAGCTTGTGTTATAATTCTTTTATGATTCTTAAGAAGGAAAGCAGGTATGGTGGCCCCTACTTATAATTAAGACACTCTGGAGGCTGAAGCTCTAAGATTTCAAGTTCAAGCTTGGGTTACATAGTGACATTATCACACACACACACACACACACCACACACACACACCACACACATACACCACCACCACCACCACCAACAACAACAACAACAGCAACAACAATTAAAGAAAACAGGACCATGAATTTGAAAGAGAGCAAGGAGGGTACATGGAAGACAGGAGGAAGAAAGAAGAAGGGGGAAGTGATGTAATTATAATTTCAAAAATTAAAAAATATTTTTAAAAACTGGTGAAAGTGCAAAATCCATTTTGTGAAAAGTAATTTGCATGACTATGCTTTCATTATGAAAGGTGAGCTTCATGTTTCATTCACAAAATCACAAACTTGTTGTCATGTGATTTATTAGTTCTATATGGTGAATACTCCAGGCTCAAAGCTTGACACCTGGCCATTGACCGATGGGGTCTGCACATATGTAGTTCTCTAAACCTTCTAATCTATTAGTAAATTATCAGTGAGGCCCTGCTGAAGACAAGTGATTCTCTTCACTGCAAAAGCAGAGAGAGAAGCAGAATTATTTTACCCAAAACTAAAAAGGCTAGGTATCCCCCCCCCCAAGCAGTCTGCTGCGAGTTCATGAAAATCTTTAAAGATTGCCCCCCCCCCACTGCCACACATATCTTTTTAGTGAGATACCACCAAGGAACAGAAGCATCTTTGGCTCAGTGAGCACACACCTAAAACCTAAGTACTGGTCTGTGCCCTACCTCTCTAATGATGTAAAAATAATACCAAGATATGATAGGAAATCAAACAGGCTTTGAAAAGTGGCCGAGGAAGACTAACCAAGAGGCACTGAGTACAGCCAAAGGCTTCAGAAAGGCAGAATGGAACTTAGGGTGATATCTAGTCCTTTTGTTGACAAAGAGAAAGAGTCTGATGGAGAAGGGCATTTGCCCAGGTCCATTCACCCAGTGGGAAGCAGAGCGACTTCCTGACTACCCGACCCCAATGCTTCTATCAAACTTTATTATTAACATGGACTTATTTGCTTTTGCTCTCACTGCTGCTGTACAACAGGAAGATGTCTTTCGACACATCTAGCTAAGCAGCCACTCTGGAAGAGCCCTTGTCTACAGGCAGATACTTTGTGTTCCATTTCCATACTCCTATAGTCTCCTGAGACAGTTTTTCACAGATGAAGAGGGTTGCCACATGTCTTACAACTTCCCGAATATTACATGAATGTTCTGCACACACACATGCACATGAAATACAGAATATTTTAGAATATTACACGGAAGTATGACCTCATGGCCCCAGGAGAGAGATAATCATTGAGACGAGGAGAGTTCAAGTCATAAAAATTTGACATAGGACCTCCCCTTCACCATTCTGAGAACCACATCTTTGGTAAAACAGAGAAGCTGGGCCAGGCTGCCCCTTATGTCCTAATGAACAATTATTAAAATCTTACTGCCTTATAGCCTGTAAAATACCATATGCTTCACATTAACTTCAAGTTCTATCCATAAAACTCAACACATAAAATATTTCTATGCTTAACAATTAAACAACTTTGTGGAGAAGAAAAATGGATGAGTGTTAAACCTACGGATTTTAGAACTGAAATAGACAAATCTACACCCAACTTTCCGATCTCTCTGATTTTGCTTCGATCTCTCGGTACTTTGTGGCTGTTAAACACAACGTGCTTGTATTCCAGGTGTTCAAGTTTATCCCACAAATCAACTCAATCCAAACACAAAAGAGTAAATAAACAAAGCCAAGAGCAAGTGTTTTCATACCCCATGGCGATCCTCGAAGTATGCTAGGCTGGCTTTCGTTAAAACAAAGAAACGGACTTTAAAATTCGAGGGAGAAGTCCTTCTCTTCTGTTGGGACTTCTTGATCAGCTGCTCTTCCAGGAGAATGAAGTTGTTCATGGTCCAGTTCGGAAAAGTGATGCGTCTTGGGCATCACTCCTCAATGCAACCAAAGGAGAGAAACAGCTGGGAATGCAGCAGGATGCAGTTGATCTTTAGAGAGTTGTTCAAAGGCAACTTGCCTCTAACCTTATCTTTTCTATCAACACCAGCCAGCCTCACCGCTGAGCTCCTCCTCTGATGTCAAAGGCCATGACCACATCCTTTCAAAATTCACCAAGTTAAGAAGCACATGCAAAAATATGTGTACCCTTTGCTATATGGTTTGGAAATGAGGTTTGAAGAAACTTAGAAAAGGAATTCAATTTTAATCTTTAGAGTTCCTGGTTTAGCCTCTGCAACACTTAAGACATGTAGAAAAGTGGGAAAGAACAGGGGTCCAGGGGTGAGTGGAGCACAGCTCGTGTATAAGTTTCCCATTGCTATCATGGATTGCCACAGGCTTCTTGGATTTCTCTCACAATTCTCTAATTTAGAAGTCTGAAATGTGTCTCACTGAGTGAAAATCATGGTGACAGTGGATCTATGCTCCTTTCTGACAGGTCTCTGAGGGACATTGCCTCTGTGACTGTCCTATCTTTTGAGGGACACCCAGGTGGCCTTGCTCTGGACTCTTTCTCCATCTTCAAACCCGACAACTACAGACTGAGTGCTGCTTCCTCCATATTGCCGGGACCTCTTCCTCTTACCTCTGTGACATTTAAGGCTCCCAAGAACCACCAAGATGGAGAGCCACCCATCCCAAGTGATCGTCTAGGACAGGCACCCCATTTTAAGGTCAGAAGATGGGTACTGTAACTCCACCTGGTATTGTAATTCCCCTTTGTCACTCAACTTCATACAGTCAAAAGGTTTGTAGGCATTAGGACATGGAAAGATTTGCACAGGGCTGTTATTCTACCTACAAGTTTGAACGCCTTGTTACCACTTAACACGATGGCTTGGGATTTCAGTTCCTTAGTCTGTGAAAGGAAGCAATGGGGGCCTTGTATGAGGCACTGGAGGGCTCCTTTTGGACTCCTCTGTCAGCCCACAGTATGCCTGGCTTTCAGGGTGTCACATTAGCCTTCTGTGCATGCCACCGCACAAATCCTGCAGGCTGGGTCTGAAGGTATTCTCGCTGTCTCTTTCTTTTCTGGTTAAGTCTTTAGTGATATTGCCAGCCTCAGCCAACAAGCAGCTTCCTCTGGGAAGCCTTCCAGACTTTCCCACATGGAATCTTGTAACCCTTTCCTCCCTCCCCCCACATATAAGGACCCTTACAAGGAAGCAGCATGCACAGACAAACAACAAGCTACCTCCTTGTGAGGGTCTTTGGGAACAAAACCTCATCTGCTCTGTCAATAATGCACGTTACTCTTGAGTCTAGCCTAGACTCAAGACAATGTTAAGATGTAATACTTCTGTGAAGTTCACTGTGACCACAAGTTAATAACCAAAAAGTCCCCACGCAAGCAGGGACAGCACAGATTAGAGAGGGACAAAGGATGAGACAAAGTGTGGGAGCACAATTCTCCAGTTTATTTTTAGATGTAAATTGCTAATTACAGCTTCTTTGCATATAATGTATTGGATGCTGTTGAATGATGAAGGCAAAGGGAAGGGAGGAGAAGGGTAGGAAAGGGAAGGGAAGGGATAGGGAGGGAAGAAAAGGGCTGGAAAGGGAGATATCCTGAGATTTGAAGACATGAAAATATAATGTACAAAAGAGGTAGACTTTTCAAACTATAGCTTGCAGCAAAGATTACTGTCTTCCTTCTTCTTCCTTTTTCTGGGGTAACTGATTCCCTGAAGATTATCTGGATATCTGGTCAACCTGAGTAAAGAATACTTTATTTTTAGCCTTCCCAGTAACTTGGTAGAGCCATGTAACTCTTTTCTGAACAAAAGTATATGGCAGAAATGGAAGTGTCTTGTCAGGATGTGGTGGTCTACACCTGTAATCTCAGCTCTTGGGAGTCTGTCTCAAGAAGAGAAGGGGGTTCCTTAATGGGAACCCCCATCTCCTCCATTTCTCTTCCTATGTCTTATGACTTGATTGCTGGAGCTGTAAGAACTATATTATACTATATGATGTGGAGGTTACATGTTGAGAATGATTGATCACATGATAAGTGGAGTCTGGGGTTATAATGACTATAGACTGGGTCATTCACAAGAGCTGTGCAACACCTGTTCCACACTCCATCTTAAACAAAAGGCTGAGAAGCAGTGGATTATCTGCCCCTCCCCCCTATTTTTTTACTATAAGAAGAAATATACCATTAATATTTTCTAGGACCTTGTTATTTTAGTTTCTGTTACTGGGACCATACCCAACTCTAACATTATGTAGTATCATGTACTACCTTCCCAGCTATACTGTAAATGACTTTGGAAAGGGTAGACTTATGCCAGACTGATTCGGGTACAATGATTTACAGACTTTACATAGCACTTTCACCTGGGAAAGCACTGTCACCTGCCTTCCATTTGCCAAGCAGTTCATTAAAAAATAATTTTATTTTCTACCACACAGAACACTCCAAAGCACTTACTGGGACTAGTCTATGTCCACTCTTATGTATGTGTGTATATCGTCTAACATTATATATAATATAATGTTAGAGCCCCCAGTATTTTCTCCATCATGTTAAGATAAACAGTTCCTTTATTTGTATTTTGGTTTTAAAAGTTTGGTTTATAGGAGACAAATTCCATACTGGTGCCTATAAGCAGCACTAGGTTACATGGCGTTACCCTGTCTCAAAGAAGAGCAAACAAAAATGCAAAATTTTACAAAAATGCAACAATGCTGGGGAGGTGGCTCAGCAGTTGGGAGCACTTGCTTCCCAACCTAAGGACTGTGGTTCAGACACTAGCTCCCACATAACCGGCGGGCATGGTCGGTCTACTGGATGCCTGGAACCTCAGCACTGTGAAGGGTGCAGACAGACAGATTCCTAGGGCTTGCTGGCTGCCAACCTGACTGGAAAATATGAGCTCCAGCTTCAAGGAGAAACCTTGCTGCAAATGAAGAACACAGAGAGTGACAGACAAGGACATCTGAAGCCTTCATCTGGCTTATGCATGTGCACATACCACACACACACACACACACACACACACACACACACACACACACACGGCAAACCAACAAATAAATGACCAACAACTAAAATCCCAACAATACAAAAGAGCTCCTACTAGCCAAAGATAAGTCCATCCCAATGACTACTTTCAGAGGATGGTGAATAATCAACTTATTATTCTGGAAACTGAAAACAAAAGCCAACTATAACCTTCTGCTTTTCATGAAGGATTGCATTTCAGTTTAGTCAACAAACATTTAATAATATAAAGTAAGTGAAGAAGGAATGACCGAGCATCACCATTTCACAATCTGAATACAACAATGAATGTAGACGATGACCCTAGGCAGCTGTTAAGCTCACCATGTCAAAAGTCAGTAGGGAAATGAACAACAGTGAGAAGCTGACAGCACGTGACAGGCTGACCACTCCTCACGTGACAGAGAGACAAGCAGACACTATGTGGCTTCTGTGTGATGTGATAGGAAGCAAACAAACTACCCACACAGATGCCTTGTGTAGAGAGAAAAGTGTCACACATGAGTCTGGTCGGAGCTCCAGATCTAAATCTGAGCTGCCAGGAAGCTCAAGAGATGAAGGAACATGGCAAAGAACAGGAAGAGACGTCACTGGGCAAGTCCAGACTATATCAAATGCTAAGGACAAATGACCCAGGGTCCCCAACAAATAAAGTGAGTGGGAACCTATAGACTAGAAAAAGACCTTAGGAGATGTTCTCAATGTGGGAGGAATTTGGATTCAGAGCCAAACAAATCAACGGTATAAGGGAATTATGAGCCACCTTGAGGCATTTAAACACCGTGAAGAAATCGAGGAATTGTTATGAAATTTTAAGGAGGCCAATGACACTATTAAGAGAGTACTTTTCACAGGTGTGCACTAAATGATTGATAAAATGGCCAAATGTCTGAGATCTGTTTTATTATAATGCAATGGAGGCCAGGGAGGAGAAATAGGGAGAGAAATGATGTTCTTGAACTGAAAATTGCTATGGCGGGGTGATGGGTACCGGTTTGTTATTGTATTCCTTACACTAGCATCTGTTTGAAAGTTTCTATAACGAACACTTCAAAAGAGCCAGTCCAGTTACTGTTGATGATCAAAACTCTAAGCACAGTGCTGGAGAAATGGCTCAGCAGTTAAAGGCATGCACTGTTCTTAAAGAGGACCAGGTCTGGTTTCCAGGATCCAAGATAGGTGGCCCACAACTCCAACACCAAGGCATCAGGCAACCATTTCTGGCCCTCCATGGGCATTTGCACTTACATTCACATATCCACACTAAGACACATGTGCACACATGCATGTGCACATACACATACACATACAAAGGTGTGTGTGTGTGTGTGTGTGTGTGTGTGTGTGTGTGTGTGTGTGTGAGAGAGAGAGAGAGAGAGAGAGAGAGAGAGAGAGAGAGAGAGAG